GCAACTCACAACAAGGGAAAAGGACAGACTGAGCTGAAAGAACCGACCAGCAACATCCAAGGAACATGGACACAACACATGAAACAGACAACAAACGCAGAGAGAGAACAGACAGGAGAAAAAAGCAAAACACGAAAAAACAACCAGGGGCCAACCAAGATTGACCAGAAGACTGAAGAGAGAAAGATCCAAGCGACTCAAGGCAGCCTCTTCACTCCATTAGCAGCTGAATTGGACAAGGCAAGACTTAGAGTAAGGAAAAAAATCAGCACCAAGACCACCGAAAAAGACACAGAACCAACAGGACCGATCCAGCAACTCTAGAGACTCACACTTTAATAACCTGACTTTTGAGTCCAGATCGAGCCCAAAGGTGTCTCAACACTACTTGGGCAGAAAAAACAAAAAACCCAAAAACGGGCAAAACGGGTGTCTTAAAACCACTTTGATAGACTTTGAACCATGGAGTGTCTCGGATTTGCAGAGAGATCCCAAGAAATTTCTGCAGATGTTTTTTGAGCTTGCCAGAAAGTTGCAATAGTTGGTCTGAAAAAAGGAACCTTGAAATTATTTGTCAAAAAAAGTGAGTCGAAAAAAAAACAGCACAAGCAAAACCTGACAATCAACAAAAGTCAGACGATCAAAATGTAAAACCATCAAAAACAAGCTCTGACAACAAAACACATGTCAGATGCACTCCGGTGTTTCGCTCGCTTCGCTCGCACTTATTCACATTGTGGAAAGACACTTTGCCTTTTCAAAACGGTTCGGTTTGGGCGTCGCGCGCAACATGGACGTCTCAGCAGTACAGTTGAACTCGTCTCGTCCTGCAGTTGATTTCTGTCCAAACGGCACTGTCAGAGGCTTTCAAAAACGCTTGTTTCAAGCAATTTAAAATCGCGGACTTGGGAGGTCAAGAGGAGCTTTTCACGGAGAAGACGCGCTTCCTGACCATTGTTCAAAGCACTTCTAAACGATGGAGCGTTGGAAGATTTGCCGGATTCCTTGGCCATTGTTTCAAGCTGCTTTTTTCATCATCTTCAAAGATGTTTGAAAGCCACTGGAACGCACCTCTTTTTGCTTTTCAGCAACCGAATCTGAGCATCGAGGTCGTGCCAGGAAAGGGGGCCTGGGGGTCCTAGTTTAGGGGGTCCATTTGGCCCGCAAAATTAACTACACCCCTCCAGCCCCCCACAGTTGCAGCCGCAACCAGCAGCAACAAGGACAACAATTCACGGGCTGCGAACACACAGACCACCTCCACAAGAGATTCTACTTCAGCTCAACACGACAGCTGTCGTTGCAGGCGTGCTGTCTGTGGACAAAAATGGAGCAGCAATTCCCTAAAATTGGGGGGCCCGAAAACAGAGCCCAAAAAAGCTTCCAAAATTGGACCTACTTGTGGCAGAAAGAGAGGAGGTCTTTTCATTGTTTTACATGCTTGGGTCCCAAATTATGACCCCAAAATGGGCCCAAAATTGGGACCCCAAAAATGGGTTCAAAACTGCTCCTGCAACCACAGCTGCAAATTCCATGGCGCTAAAGCCACCACAAAAGCATACACACACACACAGAGACATGCAGGACAGAAGAATTGCAAAGCTGGTCCGGCAAAAAATTTTTGCAGATCTCAAGTTAAAAACCCACTTTGGGGGGGCCAGTCGTGCGTTGCCAGAAATTCATGGTTGCAGGCACCCCCAATTCTGGTCCCCAAACTTGCGCTATTTCGTACTTTTGGAGACTGCATTGAGAGAACCAACACACACGACACAGAGACACACGATACAGGACAACCGACGACCGCAAGGACCGACGGACCCACAAAGAAACATGCCAAATCACCAACCGAGTTGAACTAAAGTTTAACTAAAGGAAGGTCAAAATGCCAAAAAATCCAATAATGGACCCAAGGCCGATTGAGGACCAAGATCGAGACCAAGATCGAATTCATTAAATGACAAGAAACAAACCAGGGGACCCAATCGACCAGAAGCACGGCAACTCACAACAAGGGAAAAGGACAGACCAAGCTGAAAGAACCGACCAGCAACATCCAAGGAACATGGACACAACACATGAAACAGATAACAAACGCAGAGAGAGAACAGACAGGAGAAAAAAAGCAAAACACGAAAAAACAACCAGGAGCCAACCAAGATTGACCAGAAGACTGAAGAGAGAAAGATGCATTGGACAAGGCAAGACTTAGAGTAAGGAAAAAAAAGCACCAAGACCACCGAAAAAGACACAGAACCAACAGAACCGATCCAGCAACTCTAGAGACTCACACTTTAATAACCTGACTTTTTGAGTCCAGATCGAGCCCAAAGGTGTCTTCACACGACTTGGGCAGAAAAAACAAGAACCCAAAAACGGGCAAAACGGGTGTCTTGAAACCACTTTGATAGACTTTGAACCATAGAGTGTCTCGGATTTGCAGAGAGATCCCAAGAAATTTCTGCAGATGTTTTTTGAGCTTGCCAGAAAGTTGCAATAGTTGGTCTGAAAAAAGGAACCTTAAAATTATTTGTCAAAAAAAAGTGAATCGAAAAAAAAAACAGCACAAGCAAAACCTGACAATCAACAAAAGTCAGACTGTGAAAATATGACATTTCTTTGTTTGCCCAGTTGCTTGCAGGTGCATGTGTACGACATGAGTGCTGTGACATGGCAAAGCATGTTTTGTTTTGGCATGAGCATGTTTGCATGACATGAAGGTGCTCTGACTTGACATGTTTGGTTTGCAAGTCCGAGGATGATTTTTTGGGAAGCACAGAGAGGCTTTTAGCTCGGAAAGTTGACCTGAGAGTCATCTGGAAGTGCTGAAGCAAAGCTCTGAGAAACAAACTTTGGCCGTCACTCACTCCGTGTGCCTTACCCCGTCGTTCGGACCGTGTCGTGACCGTTTGACACTCGACTGAGACATTCTGAGAGTGCTGTGTGTTTTGCAACAGACCTGAAGTCCTGAAGCAGTGACCAAGATGTTTTGCATGTTACTTTTGCATTCTCCTTTGTCGAAACAAAGTTGAGATGACTTGAAGCCTTTGCTCTTGGAAAGAGCAAACACTGACGTGTTTGGCTCAAGTGCGAACGGAAAAGCAGTCTACGCTAAAGCTTTGCTTTTCACATGGTAGCGGAGCGTCCTGAAAAGACGTCATGGGTTTAGATCTGTATACATATAATATATATGAGAGTTCCGAGGTCTCATATCCTGAGCCCCCCCAAAACGCTATATTCTCTAAACCCTAGCTATATTTAAACCTTAAATTAAGCATAGTCGGCCTCATCTTCTTTCTTCTCCTCTTCTTCATTCCCCTCCTCCTCCTTTCCTTGCTCCTGAATCCTGGCCTTCTTTCTCCTCCCCCTGCTTTCTCCTGCATCCTGTGCGGGGCTGCCTTGGCATTCTTCTTGATCCTCGTCCTCTTCCTCCCGCTCCTCTTTTGGATACTGGGCAGGGCTGCTTGGGCATTCTTCTTCAACCTCCTCCTCCCCTGCTCCTCCGGAATCCTGTGCGGGGCTGCCTCTTCTTCTTGAACCTCCTTCTCCTCCTCTTCCTCCTGCTCCTCTCCTGAATCCTGGAAGTTGCCTCTGCATTCTTCTTCAACCTCCTCTTCCTTTCCGCCTTCTTCTTCCGCCTCCTCCTCTTGCACGCCCTGCTCCTACTCCTCTCCTGGATCCTCTTCTTCCTGCTCCTCTGCTGGATCCTGCACGGGGCTGCTTTGCATTCTTCTTGAACCCTCCTCTTTCTCCTCCTTTCCTAGATCTTGTGCAGAGCTGCCTTGGCATTCTTCTTCGGCCTCCCCCTCCTCTTCCTCCTCCTCTCCTGGATCCTGTGCAGGGCTGCCTTGGCATTCTTCAACCTCCTCCTCCTCCTCTTCCTCCTCCTCTTCTGAATCCTGCGCAGAGCTGCCTTGGCGTTCTTCTTCAACCTCCTCCTCCTCTTCCTCCTCCTCCTCTCCTAGATCCTGCGCAGGGCTGCCTTGGCATCCTTCAACCTCCTTCTCCTTTTCCTCCTCCTCCTCTCCTGGATCCTGTGCAGGGCTGCCTTGGCATTCTTCTTCAACCTCCTTCTCCTTTTCCTCCTTCTCTTCTCGTGGATCCCTGCACGGGGCTGCTTTGGCATTCTTCCTCCTCCTCTTGCTGCTGCTCCTCTCCTGGATCCTGCGCTGGGCTGCCTTCTTCTTCAACCTCCGTCTCCTCTTGCTCCTCTTCTGGATCCTGCGCGGGGCTGTTTTGGTCTTCTTCCTCCTCCTCTTCCTGCTGCTCCTCTCCTGGATCCTATGCCGGGCTGCCTTGGCATTCTTCAACCTTCTCCTCTTCCTCCGCCTGCTCCTCTCGTCCTGAATCCTGGCCCTGTTCTTCACCGTCCTCCTCACGATTTGCTTCCTCCTGCATGCGCGCAACCCTAAACCCTAAACCGAAACCCGGGACCCTAAAACCACTAAACCCTAAGCCCTATATACACCCCAAGCCTGCATGTATCCCAAAAAAAAGAACCCTAATACCCTCAATCCTAAGAGACTATATTATTTTTAACTATATATATATATACATATTATATAATTAGGGTATATGCATATAGGTTTTAGGTTGTGATATATCAGTGTATATAATCGAATATATGCAAGGAAATACGTAAAGATCTGCTATGCCATTTCGTAACGAAACCGACATGAAGGGAACGAGGCAAATCTGGCAGATAGTGCTGAACCGGCCCAAGTTCCGGACGCGTCTACAGTGCCAGTACCTGATGTGAGCCCTGAGGAAGAGGCTTTGCTGTTTGGGTCTCAAGGACAGCCGACAGCACCTGCTGGAGGAGCGAACCCTTTTGCGTCGCCCCCGGCAACTCCAGCTCAAGCTCATGCTTCGCCTGCTGGAAGCCAAGTGGGTGGAGCACAAGCTGGAAATGGCCTTGGTGAAGGCAACTTCCAAGCCATCTTCATGGAAATGCTGAGGCAACAAAGTCAGGCCAACCAGCAGAACCAGCAGTTGATGCCCTCATGAGAAGGATGGACTTGGAAGAGAAGCGTCGAAATGAGGCTGAAGAGAAGGCAGCGGAGACCGCACGTTTGGTTGCGGAGGCTGCAGCTAGAGCCAAGACGGAAGACCCTTTTGCAGCTGCACCGAGCACACCTTCTGTGCCTGTTGCAGGAGCTACCTCGTCTTCGAGTTCTGTTCGGAGCCCACTGGTGCAGAATAGGGCAGAGAAGTACCTTCCATCTCTGCCGATGCTAGAGCACCAAGGCATGAACAAGGGCAGGATGAGAGAAGTCGAGACATGGCATGCCTACTTGGAGACATTGTCATCGTGGCTCGCTCTTCAAGATGAGTCTTTCGTCCGAGAGTTGCAACTCTGCGTCAAGCAAAAGAACGAGATCCTTCAGAAGGATTTGGCGGATGATGTTGCTGCTCGAAGCGCGAAGCTTTACTACTACCTCACCCAATCCCTCTCACGTTGGGAAAGAGGTCAGGAGTTGCTACGCTCGTGCTCGAAAAGGCAGTCTCTCAGTGCCTGCGGATACGAGGCTGTGAGGACCATCACGCAGCAATACAGCATCGTGTCTCGCATGGAAGCTGTCTACGTGCGGGAGCAGTGCCTCAAGTTGGCGACTACGTGCCAGCATCACCGACGGCCGACAGACCTCATCCGTCACTTGGAGGACGAGTTTTCTCGTGCCGAATCCAAGCTTGGGAACTTTCCAGAGTTGCGTCTCACGGAGGCTGACCGCTGCAGTGTTTTGCTGCAAGCTCTGAGCCAGGAGCTCAGACAGTACGTCGTTCTTCATGGAAAGAGCAACGACTGGACATCGCTGAGCGATAGCCTTCGGTACTATGAGGAGCAGCTTCGTCTGTGTGAGGGTCCTTTTTCCTCAAATCGGCAGATGTCAGGAAAGGGTGACAAGCTTTGTGACCACTGTGGGCGAAAGGGACACCTGGCTAAGGACTGCTGGAGCCGTCAGCGTGAAGCCGGTGAAAAGGGCAAGAAGGGCGACAAGGGCAAGAAGGGCGATGGCAAGGGAGCGCAGAATCCCAAAGGAAAGCCCCGCTCTCCAACGCCGAAAGGCGGAAAAGGCGGCAAAGACAAGGAGCAGAAGCCCGACAAGCCTGATAAAGGCAAGGGCAAAGGCAAGAAGAAGAAGAAGGCTAGAGCCCGGGCTATGGGAGAACCAGAGTCTGAGGCAGAGTCCGAGTCTTCGAGGACCTCCACCGTGATGGCGATGAGGTTTGCCAAGCCTTCTGCTGTACGAGAAGTACTGAGCCAGCCTGAGCCTGAGAAGCCTAAGCCCGTAGAGGCAGTCCCTAGACCGGTCGCTGTAGGGCCGAAAGTCACTGTAGATGAGAAGGTAGGCACCCTGACTGGAAGCACCTCGAAGGGAGATGCGGCATACGTCTGCGCTTCGCTGCAGGTAGAGCATCGTGATGTGTGGCTGGTCGATAGTGGAGCCACATGCCACATCGTCTCAGCAGATCATCTGTCAGGATTTCGTGTCTGCAAGTACCATGATCGCACGGTGACGCTCTATAGTGCCTCAGGAGACATCATAAACGTATCGAATGTCGTTGATCTGGAAGTTCGTTTCGGCGACGTTTCGTTGACGTTGGAGGACGTCCTTGTGGCGGACGTGCCTTTCAATGTGGTATCTCCGTGGTCCGCGTCGGAACGGGGCTGGAAGACGCACCTTGCGCGCACCGGGTCTCGCATTTACAAGGGTGGAAAGAAGAATGTCCGCCTGGTTGGGGCGAAACGGGCCTGGTGGGCGATTAGCGGAAAGAAGCAGAAAGCTCCTAAACGCCCATCCAAGGGATCGGACATGGAGATCGACTCTCTTCCTGTTGACAAGGAACCCAGGAAAGACATTACTGCAGGACCAAGCATCCTGAAGAAGACTTCGAAAGAAGCGAAGAGTGATGAGAAGCCTGGAAAGGACGAGAAGTCTATCCGCCACGTCTTGACGGGAACGCCGTTTGAGTTCATGTTGCGCGGTTTGAGGGCTGAAGTTAGGAGTAGGTCCCTGGAAATTCCTGAAGAACACGCCGGTAGGAAACCGCACGACATGATCTGTACTAGGAAAACGCCTGTCCTGAGTGGTGATAGGAGCCTGTGTTCCGAAAGTCTGGTTAGGAAACTTCATGATTCTGTTAGGAAATGCCATGTTTTTGTCAGACAGCAACATGATTTTTGGCAGCGGCATGTGTGCGCAGTTTGGAACGTGATGTTTTTGCTGGCATGTCTTGTGAAGGGGTTGTGTTTGAAAGGCTTTTCGCTTCTGATCTTCGGCAGTGAAGGTTTGAGGTGTGCCCTTAAAGGAAGTGAGTGCCCCAAAGCAACCGAGCCAGGCATGTTTTGCGTTAGGAAGCCCAAAAGGACCTCAAAAGGCTTGAAGTGCGCATGTTTGTCCGCAGCCATTTTGCTTGTTTGCGTGTCTTGGTTTTCCCTGAGGGAAGGTACTGAGCATGTCGGAACCGCCAATGGAGGTGGAGCGAGATTCCCACAACTCTCCAGCGGAGAGTGCCGGGCAGGAGGTTGTGTTTTTGAATGCACCAGTAGAGCCTGCACCAGCAGAGGCGGCGCCAGTCGAGACTGCGGATGCAGAGGCTTCAGCTGCCCCCTTCAATGTTTTCTCGAGGCCTCCGAGTCAAGTTGCAGTACCTTCGCCTACGGTGGCTGCATCAGAGACAGGAGAGACAGAAGAGGAGGAAGCATGGGGCAGATGGAGGGCAAGCAAGGCCAGGCCTTCGCAGGCAGCTCCTGGGGAAATTCCAGGTGCTCTGTCGAAAGCCCAAGGGGCACCAGCGGGGGCTACACCGAAGGCCTGGTCTGTGGTTCCAACCTCCTCGCCTTTGACGGTTCCAGAAGCGCCAGTGGCTGTAGAGTCTTTGCCTGCAGTTCCAGAGCCCGCAACCGTGACAGTGGAGGAAGGGCCTACCTCCGAGACCGCTACATCATCCGCAGCGGGTGCCCTTCCGCCTCCGGGCGGCTTGGGTCAAACAGCCGAAGAGAGGGAGTTTGTGCTTCCTTCCCCTTGCCAGAAGAAGTGAAGGCCTTAAAGGCTGTGCGGAATTCTTCCTTTTGTGGAATTGTTTCTGAACGCGCCGATCGCATGTCTTGCGCGTTGGAAAAACACAGTGTCTTTCAGGCTTGTTTGGACTTGGAAAGAAGCATGAGTGAAGCAGTTGAACAGACATGTTGCTGTGTGAGACTTGCTTGGTTAGGAGTGTGCGAGCTTGAAGGTCCCTTGAAGAGAAGCCCAAAAGAACTTCGATCTTCTAAGCAGTACCCTCAAAGATCCGAAATACCCTCAAGTCCGCGTTTAATTAGCCCGAAAGAACGTCGATCTTCTAAGCAGTACCCTCAAAGATCCGAAATACCCTCAAGTGTGAACCTCAGAAACGTCACGAACCCAAACCTCCTGAACATGAGTCATGACAGACCCCTGCCGGCCAGGAGTGCTTTGTTTTGCATGCCAGGAGAAGCGTTGGATGTTTTCGCTTGCTTGGCGATCTATGTGATAGCAAGTCTCTTGGGGGGTTCGTTCTGGTTAGGGTTTCGATTCTTGAAGATGTGTTTGAAAAGGTTTCGAGGAGTTGGTGACTACCCTCAACTTGTATCCCGAAAGTACCGTTTACACCATCGTCGTCAAGGAGTCCGAGTGCGAATCAAGACTCGTTTCTGTTATGTTCGAGTTGATGTAGAACGTACTCTGGTCTTTAGCAGGCACGTAGTGAAACCAACTTGGAGCTCAGGTTTTAAAGCCTCTTTGAAGTTCGCATGTAAGGCCATGTGCTTGGGCCTTTGTCTCGACAGGAACTTGTGGAGCTTGTTGGTGTGCATGGCATGGTGTTGTGCTTGGAGTGTGTGTGGTTGTTGTTTGTTGAGAAGAAAGGGCGATGATGAAAAAGGGAGCAGATCCACTTCTGAGCACAGCCACCTGAGAGTTGTGCGTGGACTGCCCCTCCCCGGTAAGGGGACGCAAGCTGAGCCCTTAGAACTCGATAGTGACATGCCACGGTCGTCAGAGAGAGAAGAGAGAGGAGAGAAAGAGAGTCCGCTTCCGAAACCTCAAGGTGTTGAACCACCGAAACCCCCGGAACCGCCTGGAGGTGCAGAAGTTTCAGAGAGGATACCTCTGCGAAGTGTGGCTTTGCAAGTGCATAGATCCAGAGGTCATTTTCCTTATGATGTGAACTGTGAAGCCTGCACCTCGAGTAAAGGGAAGGTTCCTGCGAGACGCTTGCGAAGGCGTTTGCAACGCGAGGACCAGACGATTGGAATGGATTTCTACTACTTTGGTCGTCTTCGTGTGCTGCTTCTTGCACATTGTTCTTCGAACTATACCACGGCCATCCCGGCCATGAATTTGGATGATCCGGATCTGTTTTACAACATTGGACGAGTGATTCGCGAAATGGGTCTTGTGAATAAAATGGTCACAGTGAGATGTGATCAGGAATCGGCTTTGATGTCTTTAGCCGAAAAATTGACTACCCGTACAGGTGATGTAGCTGTTTCTGGCGTCATTGTGGACGTCGTGCCCGGGTATCGCCCTCAGTCAAAAGGCGCTATTGAAAGACAAGTAGAAACTATGAAGCAGGGATTTTGGGCAGTGTGGTTAGACTTGGAGAGAGAAGTTGCGCGGAATTCCGCGCCGGAAGACTGGAACAAGAAGCTTCCGCTGGGAGGAATGCTCTGGCAAGCTTGTGTCCTTTACAGTGCCAGGTGCTACAACCTCTGGAGCTTTAGTCACCAGGACGTGACTACGCCCATTGACCGGCTGCACGAGGAGATTGTGCATCGTACGAGGACCCTGCCGTTTGGATGTCTTGTCTACGCTAAAGTAGGGGGCTCAAAAGCGCATCAACAGAAGTACAGGGGAAAGAAAACAGTGAAAGCTGTGTATCTAGGGCCTAAAGAGCCTAGAGGGGGCGGTGTCTTTGCTGTTCCAGTGGGTCAGACTGAGATCGATATCTTTCCTGTCTGTAGGGCCTTAGAAGGAGCGAAAGGTGAGCCTGTCTACGACGTAGGGGCCATACACGCTCTGTCTACTTCACAGCCTCTGGTTCTAGACCCAGCGGATCCTGAAAGGCCCATCATGTTTGAGCCACCACCTGATCCGGTGAAGTCAGAAGACCCTGACCCAGGGTTTGAAAACGAAGATGAAGAGATGGTACCAGATGATCCTGATCCTCTGAATGATGTTCCGTCTTACGTGGAACCCACAGATGATGAGGGGGAAGGCGGACTTGGGTCACCGGAAATGCAGCCGGATGACCTAGAGGACATGGAAATTGACTGGCTAACTAACCATCTGTTAGAGTCTTTGTTCAAAGGACCGGACATTCTGGCCACGTCTAAAGAAGTAGCTGATTCGTTTACTCTCAAATTCGGAGGAAGTAAGATCAAGTGCCAAGTACCCCGAAACGCCGTTTCTGAGACCTCAGGTGAACAGTTAGACCCTGAACTTTTGTATGCTTCGATGAAGTTGGAGCTTGAGGAACTCGAGTCTTTTGGAGTAGGGAAAGTGATCTCTGAAGCTGAGGCCCGTAAGTCGGCGCGAGAGAGCGGTCGGAGGGTTCTCACGAGCAGGTGGGTTAACACGATCAAACGTAAAGGTCTTTACCGTTCCCGCCTCGTGGTTAGAGATTACGCTTCAATGGGAGGCACGACGCTTTCCGAAGGCATCTACAGCCCGACTACGAGTTTAGAGGGTTTAAGGCTTCTTTTGGCATTGCTTTGCAAGAAAGGCTCAGTGTTGAGCTGTGACGTGAGCGTGGCTTTCATGCACGCTGCAGTGTCAAGGCCAGAGTACGTAGAGCTCCCAAACAATGTGAGTATTGCGGACTCTTCTGTTCCCCAAAAGGCAGGAAACAAGAAGGTGTATCTTCGTCTTCATAAAGCGATGAACGGATTGAGATCGGCACCGCTTTCTTGGTATAAGGAACTGAGTTCGTACTTGGAGAAGAGCGGATTCAGTCCAAGCCTGGACCCTACGATATACCGAAGGAAGACGTCGAAGGGTCTGACGTTGGTACTGTTCTATGTAGACGATTTGCTGATCTACTCCGAGGACCCCTCGGAAGGGAAGAGAGTCTTCGAAGGACTGCAGAAACGCTACAAGCTGAAACTGACTGGAGAGATTCCTGAACATGGTGCGGGGGAAGTTTCCTTCCTAGGTAGGAGAATCTTCCGACGTTCCGGAGACAAGCGCGTCTATTTCGGGCTAGATAGCAAGTATCTAGACGCGTGCTGCTCTGAGTACAATATAACCAAACCGAGCCCCAAACTCCCGTCGCTTGAAAAGCGATACTCCGACCTGGTTCGAAAAGGGCAAACTGAAAAGATTAGCCCGGCCGCACACTATCGTAGAACCCTTGGTCGGCTTGCATGGGCAGCCCTCTCCCGACCGGATCTGCAATTCTGTTGCGGGTTTTTGGGCCGGCACCAGGCGGCGCCAGACGAGGCTGCTGAAACGTGCATGAGAGACGTCCTTAAGTGGATAAAAGGGCTTCCGCACCGAGTACAGGTGTTTCCATCAACTCGGGAGATCCTGGAAGATGATGCGGATCCTCAGGCGGTTTCCTGCTTTACAGACGCAAGCTGGAGTTTGAATTCGGTTAGTGGTGGTGTGATTACTTGGGAAAACTGCTGTCTGAAGACTTTTAGCAGAAAGCAATCAACCACAGCCCTGTCCAGCGCTGAGAGTGAGCTCGCGGCGCTGACGGAGATAGCCAGGGAAGGTCTCTACATTGCCCTCTTGATAGAGACCATCTTGGAAGGCATTCCGCAGGACAGGGAGACCGGTTACTATCTCTTGAAGGGTTACTCTGACTCTGAAAGCGCAGTTTGTATCTCAAAAATGGGAACATTGCTGAGGAAAGTTCGCCATATAGAGTTAAGAGCCGCATTTCTCCAGGAACTTGTGGATCGTGGAAGGTTCACGATTGAGCACATACCGGGGGCCATCAACCCCGCAGATGCTCTAACGAAAAGTCCCACGAATGACAGTTTGGCAAGCTTGTGTGAGGCTTGTGGCTTGACCACCGAGCCGGTTGGCTGGGAAGAAAAAGCTTCAGGCTCTAGCGTTTCGGTTACCTTTAAAGAGCCCAATACCTGCGACGAAGTGCTCGCAATTCCGAGCTCGTGGAAGGACGAGGCCTACAGAGTTGCTTCTGGGGAGGCCACCATGGTTGTCTTGGAACTCTGTTGCGAAGAGGAAAGCGCGATAGCCCAAGCTTGTAAGCGGGAACGTGACATCGCGTACTTTGGAATCACCAAGAAGCTAGACTTGCTGAGTAGAGAGGCTTCTTTATTGCTAAAAGGGATTCTGGAAAAGATGGCTTCTAACGAAAGAATCTACGTGTATGCACATTTGTCTACGCCGTGCAGCGCAGGTAGTGGCCTTAGGCACCTGCGTTTCTCAAAGGACGTGAAGAACCGGGCGAGATGGAGAGCTAGTCTGGAGGTACACAAGAAGTCCTGGAGACGCATACGAGCAGTTTTCCAGGACTATGCTGGCCACGAGAGGCTCCTCCTCTCCCACGAATGGCCTAAAGGGTCTGGCCTTTGGGGAGAAACAGTCTACAAGTCAACAGCGAAAAGACTGGGACTCGAGCACGAGTGTTTGGTAGACCGGTGCTGTTTCGAGGAAGCTGGCAACCGTATCCTGAAGCATTGGTGGTTCGTCAGTTCGGATTCGAGTTTTATCTGGACTTTATCCTCTTGTGTTTGCCCAGGCAACCACGAGCATGCGAGTGCTACTAGCATAGCAGCGACAGGTGTCTATCCGCAGGGCTTAGGCCGCTTCCTGGTGAAAGAAGCCAGGAGAAGTCTCGAAAGACGAAAGAAGGACTGACCGCGCAATAGGCATGAGGGGGTGTGAAAATATGACATTTCTTTGTTTGCCTAGTTGCTTGCAGGTACATGTGTAGGACATGAGTGCTGTGACATGGCAAGAACATGTTTTGTTTTGGCATGAGCATGTTTGCATGACATGAAGGTGCTTTGACTTGACATGTTTTGGTTTGCAAGTCCGAGGATGAGT